ATAAGGGGACTGCAAGGTCACATTGTAAAAGTATATTTAACTTTATGAGAAACTACATCCCCACTAGCAATGTTATCAGGCTCCAATATAAGTATATTTTATCTCATTGTAGTATTCCCTAGTGACTAATGATACTGAGCATATCTTTTTAGATGAAATATCCCTTCTGTGGTTTATTCACTTTTAAATTTGGTTTTCTTTTAAAATTTTTATAATACATATTTGCAGTACATAATGACTACATTCATTGTGGGAGCTGGTATAATTACATAACATATCTTCTCCTTCTCTTCCTCTTTCCTCCTTCCCTCTATCTCTTGGTTCCCTTCCTATTTGCAAATGATCAGCCCAGCATGGTGGTGCATGCCTGTAATCTCCAGCAATCAGGAGGTTTAGGCAAGAGGATTGCCACAAGTTCGAGGCCAGCCTGGGCTAAATAGTGAGTTCAAGGCCAGCTTGAATTACAAACATGACCCTAACTCAATTAAAAAAAAAATCTATATCCCTGTTTTCTATTATTTAGCTTTGATTTAGCTCTTTAAATTATTTACTTTTTCCCATCCTGTAGGTTGTCTCTTCGCTCTTCTGTTGAATTTTAAGAGCTTTTTAATATATCCTTAGGGTAAGTTTTTGTTGGCTATTCGATTTACAGTCTGCCAGTCATGAGTTTGCACTATTAGCAGTGTCTTCCACAGAGCAGAAAAAGTAATAGATTCTAATATTCTTTATTCAGACACTAGTAGAACTGATAAATAGATTTGAACAATACAGTTATCAAACTTGACTTAATCTACATAGAATACTGTATCCAACAACTTCAGTTGTACATTATTTTCAAGCACACAAAATATTTCTGACCACGGTCCTTTTAAATCATTATTATCATTATTATTAGTATTATTATTATTATTATTATTATTAGGTACCAGGATCAAGCTCAGGACATTGTGCTTGCAAGACAGGCGGCACCACTGAGCTAAATGTCTGGCCTAGTCCTGTTAAATTAAAAAACAATAATGAAAAGATAACTAAATATTCTCCAAATACTTGAACACTAAGAAATACTTTTAAATAAGCTGTGAGTAAATGTTAACCAGCATTCTTCACTTCCAAAACACTCACCTACAAAGAGTGACAATTGGTTATTGTTATTAGAAATAATAGATATCAAACCAATCCTAAAAATATAAAGTAATTGAAGAAAATCATTAGCAGTGAACATTGTGAGAGCTAAATTTAATTTTTTGGTAAAGAATTTCTGATTGCTTAAAAAAATTTTATCTCAGGAGAGATTGCTGGTGTAATTGAATTGTCTTGCTTGTTAAATGAGTATTTTGGTGGCTCACCAAATACCTATGATCTCTACTAGAAAATCAGCTAGTCATAAACCATTTATTATACTAAGAGAATAGAATTAAAGACTATAAGGGCTATGAAATATCTAAACCATGCAACTTCAAATATAATCTCTTTTATAGGAATGTTCACATAGTATTAATTGCTAGCATTAACTGAAAACTTTGTTGCCATGTCTTTAGACTTGTCTTTAGGTGCTTAGCTAGGTATAGGATGATTCAAATTAGCTCTAAAGCAGTTCTAACAAAGTTTTACACTAAATTGTGAATATCTTGTTTCCATACGTATTTGTAATAGTTATGCAAATAACCTGTAATAGACAAATAATAACCTTTGCCCTTCAGAGTTTTAAGAAAAGGAAAGCTTGAGGTATTTTATTATTCATTCAGTTACTGTTTACTCCTGCTGTTTTGCGAGTCATGTTTATAGATGCCATGTATGCAGCAGTGAGAAGAGTAGATAAAAATGTAACCCTCATGCAGCTTCCACTTAATCATTTAATTTTAGTCTTCAAATTAAAGTTAAAACTCATCATGATTATGGTTTTACGATCTGAGATTTATTTTGAGCTTATTCCCCAATAGGATGGCTGGTTAAGTGTAAACATAGTATTACTATCAAATCAGTGCAAAAATACTTATTTGAGAGCTAGTTTTGTGAAGTAAAATGAAATTATATAATCGTTCATTGATGCTCAAAGGATGATCCACCAACTGATTCTTATCTTTGAGCTATTTGTTACTGGTTAAAATAATCAATACAGAAATTGAGTGTAAGCACTTAGAAAGTTTTACAGCAGTCCACACAGTGTATGTGATCAGTATGCTTTGTAAAAGAGCCAATACTTGGCAGATTCACATTTTTATTTTTATTTTTTAGATTCAAATTTTTTAAAAATATGTTTATAACTGTTCATCTACCAATATAGTCTGAAATCACAGTTAATATAGAACCCCAGTAATCATCATATAGCTGATAGTAGTTAGAGGTTCCAGATAAGTGATACAAGAGACAGACAAATGTGAGAGAAGCTTACAGATGTAGGCTAAAGAAGTTTTCACACAGGAGCAATGTGATCTAGACTTTGGTTCAATTTGTTTTGTGTAGGTGGAGAAATGATGAAGACGATATGAAAGCAGCATTAACAAAACATGGAATTATGGAGATACAAAATGTATTGTTAAACTAATATGGCTTCACTAAACTAGAAGAGTTTTACTATGTAGAAGGAGGAGATATAAAATGGGATGGAATGGTTGCTTAAAGGGCTTTGTTGCTATGCTTAACAGCTAAGATATTTTCATAAACAGTTCATTCTACAAATGAATTCAGGGGATTCTATGCCTAAGAACCCAAAAGTTGACAAAACAAAGGTTTACTCTGTATTACTTAGGTTCTCGTGAGGAATAGAAAAGAAAATTGAACAAGTGAATATATAGTATAATATTAGGTAGTAATAATTTCTATGAAGAAAAACAAATAAGGTTTTAAATTAATGTCATACATAGTTCATGTTTCTAAACATTGGAATTAATAACATTTTTTTCTGTGAAGGGCTTAATACTTTTTCTTTTGCCCACTTTTGGTGCCTCACAAACTGTTCTTTCAGTCTAGGTTTGATGATTTACAAACTGAGTTGTAAATCATCTTGATTGATGTTTCTTTGTATCGACTTTAAGGTATCTCTTTTAATGGTATTAGATCTCCTGGAATGTGCAGTGATTCTTGGTTGTGTAGTGTGTAGTTCCTTTCATATTTGTGATTCCTACCTAGTTCATTGTCTCTCCATGTTCCTTCTGACTAGCTTCCCATTGGCAATGGTGCAGGAGAGAAGGAATATGTAGCTAGGAATAAGGTACCTTTAGTAGTTTGACTTTTTCAGTGTTTTAGATTCATCATCTGTTGTGGTTTATATCTGGCTGTCCTCAAAGCCCTCATGCACTCAGAGGCAGGACTTATAGATGATATTGGATAATGGGCAAGCTATGGCTGGTTTAAGAGGTGGAGTTTGGTTGGAAGAGGCTGGTTAGTGGGAGTATGAACTGAAAGGGTTTATCTTCCACTTCCCTTTTCCTCTCTACTTCCTGCCTATCATGAGATGAGCAACTTCCCTCTGCTCAGGCCTTTCTACTATGCTACTTCTGCCTGGAGCTAGCTAACTATACACAAGCACTGAAGCTTATTAAACATGATCCAGAATAAGCTTTTCTTCCTTTAAGCTGTGGGTGTCAGGTATTTTGTCCCAACGATGAGCAAAGTAACTAAGACACCATCTTTCTCTTCTGGGAATCACTTTGAATTTGAATTCCCTGTCCCTGGTGTCCACAATTAGTATTTAGACGGGCTGCATGTGCTTCTGTGTTTTTTAGCACAGTCTAGTTGGGGTGAAATGGTGGGATTGATAGAAGCTAATTACATTAGATATTCCCTACTTGATCAATCTGATAGTAACTTGAGAGGCCCCATTATTTCATTTAACCATTGTCTCTGGATTTTTTTTTTTTTTTTGGTACCGGGGATCAAATTTGGGAACTTGCATTACTTGGAAGGCAGGTATGACACCACTGAGCTAAATCCCAGCCTTTTTTTTTTCCTATAAATGTGATCTTATCCTCTTTATGTTTTTAAGGATTGTTCTGATCTGTTGATAAAACATGTCAAGTGTTAGAGGTTGTTATGTATTTTCTCTTGTTGTGTATCTTCTCTGATATATCATGTTTGGGGCAAAAGGATTAATTAGAGCATACATTTTAGCCTTTTATCTTTTAGGCTCAGTCTACCTTTTTGCTCCAAAATTCTAATTGATGTCCTTTAAAAAGTAATTTAAGACTCTGATAATAGTACTGGTTATTGCCAAACAAAAAAGTGCAACCAAATTAATATACATTTACATTTGACCACTTATGTATTATGCCACTTAACAGATTAAGATTTTATTTGAATAAAAATATATTGAAAATATAGTTTCAAAGATTTACTCTGGGGATACAATTATAAAATCTTGTTTATATATTTATTCTGTCTTCTAAACAACTGAATGGTAGAAATAAAAGCCAGCTTTTTATATTACTATATATATTACAGAATACTATTTTAAAATGAAAAATATAAAACAGTTCCAAGACTGATTAGCATCTGTGAAAAATATTTTAATTGTACGCATTTTCTCAACAATGTAGATTAGTTAACTAAAATTGGGCTGGGGTAGTATGAATACTCTCACATTCTTTAAGCCACAATTTCATAATTTCTTTTCTGGCATCTTCAAAACTCCCAAAGTTGTTCTTTATTTGGTACCTCTAATGATGTTTCTAATGTACTACATTAGCTATAGAACTTCTCATTGTATTGTGAATATTGGCTTATCACAGGTTCTCCTTCACCAAAGAGTCAGTCCCAGCTTTAATTTATGAAAAATCCTGAGATTATTTTTACTTTAGAGTAATGACTTAGGAGTTTGTCCTCTATGTCTTTTTATGAGGTAGCAGTTATTATTTGGATTTGTAATTATAATGTGATTCTGTACAACCTTTGAAAAAGTCACATTATGCTAAACTAATTGTGTTATAAGAATATCTCTAATAGTTAAAGCCCATTGCTTTAGATTTTTCATGTATTTATTTATTTGTTTGTTTATTTTAAAGGATCAAAGTAACAATGAAATTACAATTGGAGTGATGTCAGGAGGAATTCTGATTTATAACAACAGGGTACGAATGAATACCTTTCCATGGTAAGAACATCAGCAGTATTTTTGCTTTTACAACTATATTACCAAATGTAATGATTTCTATTAAAGAAAATGACCATTGAACTATTTAAATGTTGTCACTTTACTTGTGTGGTGCAATTATATGCCCTGCATATGTGGTACTTACTAGAATGTGCCAAAACAATTCATTTCATAATGGCATATTAAAATATTACACATGAATTTTTCTTAGAGAATCATTTTTTAGAGAATCTATAAATGTGTAGTGTAGTAATATTAAAGTGCCTACCCTGTGTCTTCAGTCATGTTAAGCACTATAGTATTTTATTTAAATTCATTTATTGGGCTGCTAATTTATGAAATAAAATTTAGGCATAGCTCCTATAACAAAGATATAAAATTAAAAAGTGATTTAAATTATTGCAAGCAAAGTGTGGTGATTTCATGGGATTTACAACTGATGTTTCTTTTATATTATTACTCTTTTGTCTCTAGCATATTTTCTTTTCTTTATTGTCCAAGATGGTTCACCACCATCATTTGTGTATTTGTGTATTGTAGAATGGAGAAAAGGGAGGAAAGCATCTTCCACTTTTTGAAAATTATAAAAATGTCTTTGACCAAATCCCATGTATAGCTAACATTTTGTGTGTGCGTGTGTGTGTGTGTGTGTGTGTGAGATCAGAGACTTTTTAAAGCATAGTGATTTTCTTTAGAAGAAACAAAAGCAAAATTAGTACATTTTATTAATCTTTCTTTTATATACCTCTTACTAGCTTTAATATACCTCCTAAATAATTTTTATTTAATAAGTATTTGAAAGTAGTTACCTTCATAACACTTTAATAGAAATATGATAACTAACAATAGCAAATGTTTTAACAAACTGCTTCAACTATGCTAAAAAAATTTCCTAGATAAGTCCCCAAAATATGAATGATACAATGAACAACAGACAAAATGGATCTATAAAAATTAAATACTGGCAGGCAGAAATCTGCAGAATATACGTATTTGTAGACTTAAGGGTAGGGAATTTTTACAGCAGTAATAAAAAGACAACCTAATTATAAATATAGGCAAGATTTTTGAATAGACACTTCTACCAAAGAAGATGTGTACATGATAAATAAGCATATGGAAAAATTTCAGTTTCCAGTGAAAGACAAATTAAAAATACAATGATAAATAAGCACATGGAAAAATTTTCAGTTTCCAGTGAAAGACAAATTAAAAATACAATGAGCTGTTCTTTGACTATGCAGAAAAACAGTGAAAAAGTTTGATAGTATCAAATGATGGAAGTAGGGAACCTAGAAAGGATGGTACTGGTAGAAATGCAAACAAGTATACCAACTTTGGAAAACAGTTTGGCAGTTTAAGTTAAAAGTAAATTAGCCATATTACCCAGCGATTCTTTTCCTAGATGTTTACTCAGGAAAATCAAAGTTCATATAAAGATTTGTTCACAATATTCACAGCTACAGTATTTTTGATAACATAAAATGAAAATTCAACAGCCAGAAATGTAGCTCAATTGTGCCTACCTGCCTGGCAAGCCCAAGGTCCTGAGTTTGATCCTCAGTACTATCCCCCCCGCAAGAAAGAAAATTCAAATGTCTATAAATTGATAGGATAAACCAATTTTACATACACACAAGCACACACACACACACACACACACACACACACACACTGGAATTCTACTTGGGATTAAAAATAAATGAACTTTATAATAATACAGTATAATAAAAACCACATGGATGACTTTACCCTCAAAGCATTATGCCAGGTATAAGAAGCCAGACTCAGAAAACTGTATTGCTCTTTATTTCTATTTATATGTAATTCTAGAACACACGTATGATGGAGACAAAATATCCTTGATTGCCAGGGTATTAAAATAGAAGGAGGCTATTAAATGATTTGCAAAAGGGCACCAAGGAAATTTTGGGGGATGGTAGAACTATTATATGTATGATTCATGTGGGTAGTTATATAATTGAACACATTTGTCAGAACTCATTGTTCATTTCAAATTGTTAAATTTTATATGTGAGTTACCTCCGTAAAGATATAAAACGAAGGATTACTTAGTTGTTCATCTCACATCTTTTTTTTTTTTTTTTTTTTTTTTGTGTTTTTCCCTTTCACTATGTAGTAGAGACTGCCCTGGAACTCACTGTGTAGCACAGGCTGGTCTCGAACTCACAGTGATCCTCCTGCCTTAGCCTCCCGAGTGCTGGGATTACAGGCGTGCACTACCACGCCCGGTAGTTCATCTCACATCTTTTAAATGTTCCTATGTAGTTGATGAAATTGTAGCATGTTCAGGGAATAATACAAAACAGAGACATAGTTCCTACCAATAAGTGCAGTTATGACACAGAAATTTTTTATTTTGCACTTTATATAAATGTCAAAATCGAAAATAAATTATTTTCAGATAATATGGGTTAAATATTGTGATTAAAATTTTTTATATTTTCTTAATTCTATGTTGTATATAAATTTATTGTTTTTATCATTATAAAGATTCTAGAAGAGATGTTGATAAATTGTTTGGAAAAAAGGGTATAATCTCTGGAATATTTCACTGGCTCCATGATATTTGAGACAGTTGTTATAGGAGGAATAGAAACTTCAAAAAAAGAAGGAAGGGTGGAAGAGTGCAGTGGCTATAGAGAACTCGCTTAATGTATGTAGAGCATTAAAGGTAGAAGCACTAAGCATTTGCCGAGCCCTAGTAGTAAGAAGTAACATGTCAAGTTACTGAGATGACGGGGTATTTGGTTTCCCTTTTCCTTCAGCTGTTTTGAGAAGAGAAGCAAGAGAACAAGAATTTAGGAAGATGTTCCTTGAGTAATAAATTGGTTTCAAATTGTGAACAATCTTACATATTTTACATGCTAAGGAGTTGGCATATTGTTTTATAGATAAATATATGTTGAGCTAATTTGAAGTTGAGAAGTAGAATTCATATTTTCAAGTCTTCGTCATTTAAGTTAGATTTTAAAAAACAAAACAAAACAAAGGATACCAGATTTGGAGGATTTTGTGGTGGTTTATGTCTACAATTCTAGCACCTGTGGCATCAAGGCAGGAGGATCATGAATTTGAGGCCAGCCTGAATTTCATACTGAGTTTGAGGCCAGGATGAGTTTAGCATGACCCTGGCTTGCTAAATGCCAAAAATAAATAAATAAATGAAACAATAAAAACAAAAGATGTATTTAAGGTTTTGACTGGAAAATATTGTATAGTGTGAATTAAATTTTGTTTAAAAAATTAAATGGTTGGGATTAAAAGTTGGCTAAAGCTACTGAGTATACATCAGCATGAAATGTAAGGATTTCTTGTGATCTTAACCATTCAGAGTAGAACACAGTACAACATTAGGAAAATGTTTGCCAAAAGGTAACAAAAAGCCATGAATTAAGGTCCAATATATTTTTTGGGTGGAGGGGATAGACCAGGAATCGAACTCAAGGCCTTGTGTTTGCCAGATAGGCACTGTGCCACTGAGCTACATCCCCAGCCCCCAAAATCTTTAATAGTCAATACATTTATGGTTTATTTTGGTTTTTAAAGCATGAACTGAACTTAGACAAAGCCAGTGAACTTCTTGTAAGTACCATATGAGTAAGAGACCAAAACAATCTTATCACCATGTCTAAATTAATATTCCTAAAATTTCTGTTGCCTTTACATTTTACTAAAGTACTATATGTTTACTTTAGGAAACCATAAAAATCATTTTGGAAGACTGATAATAATTATGACCATCTTGTATCATATATATTTCAGCTACTTTTCTATTAATAATTTAAAATAAGATACTGATGCTAAAGATTAAATGGTAAAATTGCCAAATTTCTGTATAAATGAAGTATACTTAGTAAAAGTAGAAGCTTTAGAACTGAGAGGAAAAATATTCATTGATTTTAATGCGTTTAACCCCATAAGCTTAGAACCCTGTAAGTTTGGAATATTATTTACTGAGACAACTGGTAAGTATGAAGCAGAGCTTTAAACTCAGGTCTCTTCTTTTACTGGTTCTCTCAAAATTGGACTTACATATAGAAAAGAGGAGTGTGCAACATCCATTTTCCATATATGGTTATTCATAAATTATCACACTTGTATTAATATTTTTTAAAAATATTAGTGAAATTGGAAATTTGGATTCTATAAATTAAACTCCATCAATATTAATGTAAATCAGAAGACATCATTAAAACAATGGGAAGGAGAAGAGAATTCTAGTTCCCAATCTGAAATGTAAAGAGTTTAAACTTCACATTACTGTCCTCACAAGGAAAAAAAAACTGATAAAACCTTAAAATCAACAGCTCTTACGTTTTTTCAGTGGAATTAAGAACACTAGGCAAACTGCTACTTTGAGAACTGAAGAGACAGATGTATTCACTGCTGCTAGGGCCAGTAACTCTTAGGAGTAGATTTTTAAGTGGATGATTTATATATGGTTTGTCAATTATATTTCAATAAGTCTGTTAAAATAAAGGTGAAATTAAAACTTTTAAAAAAGGAATATTTACAGGATAGTTGACTAATTGAAGCATAATGATTCTGGGCTAGATTGAGAGATAAAAACAAAAAAATCTTTAGTGTTATGATCTTGCTGAGATCATAAGGTGCTGAGGTCTCCTTGTAGAAGTGGTTTAGGTTCTTTCTGTCCTGACCAAAAAACTGGTCAAGTGAAATACAAATAGTAGCAAGGCTTTACATTTATTAAAGGTAAGAAAAGAAACAGGCTCTGTAGAATGAGTTTGGGCCAAATAAAAGTAAGAAAAGTAAGTATGAGCTACAGCATGATGTTGACTGCCTATTTTGTATCACCCACTTCTCAGGCTGATGCCAGGTCTAGGCCCTTCTATCCAAAACCTGCTCCAGTTGGAGAAGTCTGTTCAGAGGTTTGGGAACTGTTCTGTACATGTGTCCTGGGATCTTTTGATCAAGAGCTACTTCCACCACTTACTTTCCCACCCATTCGGCCATACCTTGATCTGCTACCTCAGAAATAGTGTTTGATAACTTTCCAAATTAATGACAGCCACCAAACCATAGACCCAGAAACTTGAGAAAATAAAAGAAGGTTAAATATCCCCAAAAATCTGTGTGTAGCCAAATATACTATATTTATACTGCAGAAATCCAAGAACAAAGAAAATCTTGAAAGAAGCATAACATCAAAAGCATTCTTTTCACAGTTAAACAAGGATAAAGTTATATTGGACTTCTCTTCAGAAACCATACAAGCAAAAATAGAAACAAAGTGAAATATTTAAAAGCGTTGAAAGAAAAATTCTCCAACCTAGAATTCTGTAGTCTTTAAAGTTGAAGAGAAATACTCTCAGACCAACAAGAACTGAAGGAATTTGTTGCTAGTTGACCTTCCTCTGAATAAATCTTGAAAGAAGTTTCTAGCTGGATACAGTAGCGCATGTCTGTTGTCCCTACCACTTGGAAGGATGAAGAAGGAGAATCTTCAACTTAAAGGCCAGCCTGGGCAATTTAGCAAGACCCTGTCTCAAAATTTAAAGAATTTTATATAGGGCTTGGGATATATTTCAGTGGAGCTTATGTAGCATGTGTAAGATCAAGATTCTATATCCCCAGCACTGCAAATAGATAGGTAGGTAGGTAGGTAGGTAGATAGATAAATAGATAGATAGATAGATAGATAGATAGATAGATAGATAGATAGATGGATATAAAGAATTTCAAAGAAAAGGAACCTTCATATTGAAAAGGTAGATTATCAAAATGAATTTTAAACAACTTTATTAATTTACATAGCATGTAAATTTACCCATTAAAATATACAGTTTAGTCATTTGCAGTATATTTTCAGGGTGTGGCATCACTATTATATAATTTTGAATTATGCATAAGAATTTTTCATTGTGCTAGAAAGATAGCTTTTAACCATTAGAAGTCATTCTCCATCACTTCCTCTGCATCTCACTCATCTGTAGCCCTAGGCAATCACTAATTATTTTCTCCTATAGATGAAATCATATTCTCTGTAGTTTTTTTGATTCACTTCCTTTCACATAATGCTTTTGTGGTTTATCTGTGTTATAGCATGTATGAATACAACATTCATTTCTGCTGCTCAGTAATCTGTTCTGTGGCCATACTGTATTTTGTTCATCAGTTCATTAGTTGGAATACACTGGTAGAATAGGTTTTCCTTGCTTTACAAGTTGAGTTCTGGGCTTACATAGCGTAGCTGCACCAGATCACATTCCCACCAGCAGTGCACACGTGTTCAGTTTCACCAAATTCTCCTCAGCACTTCACTGTTGTCTGTCTTTTTTATTATATCCATTCTGGTAGATGTAAATTAATACACATCTTTGTTGCTTTTATTTGCATTTCCTTAGTGGCTAATGATGTTGAACATCTTGTCTTGTGCATATTTTTCTTTCATTTATCTTCTTTGAAATATTCAAACAGTATTTTAAAAATCAGTCTGCATATGTCTTATAAGAGACATATTTAAAGCATAGACAAATGGTTGAGAGTAAATCCACTGGAAAAAATAAACCTGGCATATAGAAACAAAAAGAAACTATTATAATTGTACAACATAAATGTTATTTCAAAATTTTTAGCCATTGATGTTTTTATGAAAAATATAGCTCTATGTACTAAATAAAATCATATAGAATAAATTTAGAAGACAATAGAAGCTATACAAAATATGCCAGAGAGCATTCAGTTTAGTGATTTTTTTTATTCAGTTTGATATTTATGAAATCAGGATGATTTGAAACTGGTTTAGATTTTCTCTTGATCATTTAGAAATAGTTTTATTTTTATTAGTTGCTAATATGATGGTTCTTAATGGGAATTAATTTTTAGCTCCTAAAATATGTGTGACTCCTGTAGATTTTTTTTTGTTTGTATTTTTTTGTTGTTGTTTGGTTTGGTTTGGTTTTTTGAGGCAGGGTTTCACTGTGCAATTCAGGCTGGCCTTGAACTCACTATGTAGTCCAAGCCAGCCTCAAATTCCCAGTTTCACTCCCACTTTAACCTTTGTAGTGCTGGGATTACAGGCGTGCGCCACCATGCCCAGCTTGCTCCTGTAGATTTTTTAAATTGAAGTATCTAGTTTGCTTTCTTTTTATAACTATAGTCTGTTTTATGCAGTCTTTTGTTCATTTTCTGGAAATAATGCCTATTGTAAATGACAGAAGAATTTCCTCATGTTGTTTTGTCCTTATTCAGTGAAAGCCATGGATGCAAAAGTAAAATAAAAATTTTGAAACCTATAAACTAAGTATATCTCTTGTTCCCCACTCTATACAGACATGCTTGAAGCTGAATCATGCATTTGCTACAAGTGATTGAAGTGTGAAAAGTTTCTTCTTTGGGAATGCTGAGAGCTGCTTGGATAGAAAGGGCCATGAGTCATGAGGATCAAAACTTAAAATTACCATGAAAATATTTATTAATAGATTAAGACAGGACCCAAAGTGTGTTTTGTTAAGTAAGATTGAATGCCTTAGTCCCATGGTGATTAGAGCTTTAGATTAAAAAAAGATCTGAGTTGGGGCCGGGGATTTAGCTCAGTGGTTTCCTGCCTGCCTTGCAAGTGCAAGGTCCCAAGTTTGATCTCCCAGTACCAAAAAAAAAAAAAAAAAAAAAAAA